CGGACTAATGCCGTTTATTTATAGATTCGTCCAAAATAAGTTCAAAAGCCGTTCTGCTCCATAATAGTAACAAAAGACCCTCTATTCCTCTTGCACATGCAGTTGCCATGAAGGAAACACACGAAAGTATGTCACTTATTCTAAATGCAATAATTTATAATACGTATAAGTGGCAAATAATATGTGGTGACCTAAAAGTCATAGGACTATTACTAGGTCTTCAGGGTGGATTCACGAAGTTTTGCTGTTTTCTTTGCCTTTGGAACAGTAGGGCAACACAAAGCCATTATCAAGTAAAATAATGACCTCCGAGAGATAAATATATTCCAGGAGAAGAATATACCTCTTGTTAATCCCAAAAACGTTTTGCTACCTTCATTACACATTAAACTGGGGTTAATGAAAAATTTTGTAAAAGCATTAGATAAAGAAGGTGATGCGTTTGAATATCTTGAACACGTTCTTCCAAAACTAAGTGATGCAAAACTCAAGGAAGGTATATTTGTTGGACCACAAATTATAAAACTACTACGTGATTAATAGTTTGATTTGAACTACTGCAAGATGGTATTTCTCACACTCCCATTTGAATTTTTTCCTAGAAAATTTGGGTGCTGTCATTGACGAACAAGGGGAAAGGTTCCATCAAGACATACTGACAATGGAACAGGCAAGGCAAGGCAGATCTGATGCAGTAATGATGGGGGATTATTGTTTGATGCTGAAGTCAGAGTCGGGATGCTTGTAACTTTCATGTATAGCCATTATAATATTAGTCGCATTTTGTTTCTTATTTGTTGGCTAGTGTTTTCTTTTGTCTAGGATTTATATTGGAATTACTCAAAACTTTGAAGTCTACCTTGTCGAAGAACTCAAACATCTCAATAGCCACACTCTATTTCAGATACGAACAAACATTTTGTGTTTTTATTGATATGACCTACTGGCTGGCAAGACAAATATATTTACAGACATGTATGCATTTTTAGGTCTTCATTTTCCATTTGGCTCTGGACAATATTTCTAGTTAAAAGAAATCCATTCGTCGCTAACTGATTAAAAACCTCAAGATCACCCCAACTTCGAAAATATCGCTTAACTAATCTCCGCTTCTTGAAATCCTTGATGGCTCACCATTATTAGAAACGACATAAGAGGGGATCGTAAGTCCTATTTCTCAATCAAGGTGATCTTGTTTGTTATTATCGTTCATTTGGGTCTGAACTGGGCGCATTGACATCACAGGAGTAACACTGCAAAACTCTCAGCGCTACGGCGTAACCCACTTCACCTTGCTACAAAGAAATTTCAAAAAGTTCGAATTGTACTCATTCAGTGTGTTGTATTGGAATTTCAAAGCCTTCTCTTAGCTTCTTTCGAACAACTGTTAACCGATGATATGCATACTAGATGGTATCCACAAAGTTAAATAAGAAAAAGAGGATGTCATTGTGAGAAAATCCTTGATTTTCATATCATTAATTTTTCATTTTGAATAAATCAAATTCTCGTTACGGATTTTTTCTTCACTTTCTCTTGTTGAAATAGTAACGTTTTTTCATTATATTTCACCGGCGATCTCTTTTATCAATATACGATTCGCAAATAGATTTACTACTTTCTTCTTTCTCTATTCTCAGCCTCATCCCCACTGTTTTGAAGCTTGTAGGGAATAATGCTGTAGGTGATAATGATCGAACTAGAACCTGGGTAGGTATGTTCTGACTGGTGATTGCGTGGGGTATATGAAAATTACAGTAAAGAATTAATTTTCAGTATATTATTCCCTACGAAATAGCTACTATGATAGCCACACACGTTGTGATTTTTTTGAAAACAAAGATTGTGAAGATCAAATCGTTAGGTTTAGTTTGTGAAAAGGTATTGTAATTACTTTCAGGGGGTCGCCTAGTACACCCATTCTATACTTAATGTTGTTGTTATGATCTTGGAAAATCTTGAAGGGTGTGTTTGTGTAGGATTGCATACACGAAATGACCGATAAGAAAAAAAAAATACACTCGAACTTGGATACATAGATATTCATGTACCATTAACCATGAGTAGAGAACACAAGTATATACGAGTGGAACCGTTATTGACAACTCACAACTATGAAGCATGGGTGCCTCGAATCGAGTACACAGCATACCTTGTTGCCAAAGTGCCGAAAGCAGCACTGCAATACATTATTGCACCAATAGATTCTCGTTCTGACTGAATTCATGTATTTCTGTCGACTATAGTAACAATTCAAAGATTCATCCACAATTGTTCCCAAAAAATTCCACTTCATGTGACATATCTATTTCGTCAATGGTGAACAGTACATCTTGAATATTATTTTTCCTGTCATGAAATATCATTACCACTGATTTCGAGGTGTTCAAGACTGGACAATTACGTTCACACCAAGAAGAGAATTCATCGATAATGCTACTAATTTTGGCTACCACGTCATCCATTGTGTGTCCACTGGCTGTAACAGTGGTGTCATCTGCAAACATCGTTATGTGGCTGTCTCTCACATATTTAAACAGATCATTATCAAATATAATGAATGATAATTGTTTCGAAACTGAGGCCCGAGGAACGCCCAGTTTCATGGCATACTTATCTGACAAGGTATAGTCGAAGTAACCGATATAGTAATCTTAAAGGTGTTGGCGAAGTCAAAGGCCAAAAAAACAATGCAAAGGAATTATGCCGCAACGAATTAGTCCACGTGGACTGAAGAATTGGCGGTTCGTATTGGATAATTTTTACTAACCGAGTTTTATGATTGGCTGGAGAGTCATAAAATTAAATTTGAAGTCATGTTACGGTGACCAACAGAATGTAGCGATGAGTACCGCCGTTGTGTCGTCAATGTTCAGTTCAGGAACTGATCGTCATTTGAGTGTTGATATTCGATATTGGTGAAGTTATAATTACTTAAAATATTTGTTATTTGTTTAAAATTTGGCGTCCTTGAACAAGTACTAATAGTAATAACGAGTGTGATAACAACGCAGACTTTCTCCTGTGTAGTGATTCCAATAGCGCTGGTGAACAATGCGAAAAAGAGATACCAGTGAATAAGATTCGGATGTATTTGAATATTGAATTACAGAGAATATGTTTCAATGTATATAAGAATCTACATATTAAGTTTGGTTTCGAGAGAAAAAAACTATTACAAGCAGATTTGACCGAAATTCCTTTTTCAACTGTACGTAAAATAGTCAAAAACAAACCTTATGAACGCATGACGCGATTTGATGCAGGATTACCAAAACCTTTAGATGTTCATCTGATAAAATCATTAAAAAACAATATATAACTGTTACAAAAGCAATGAGATTCCTACAATTGAAATCATAAGGAAGAAATTGAATACTTCCGGCCATAACGTAAGCTGCTGTGACAAAACTCTTCAGAATTGGATAAAGAAACTAGGATTTGGATTTGAAATAATAAACAAACGTCAAGCAGTTATGGAGAGCAGAAGAATAGTGGAATTGCCTAACAAATTCTCAGAACAAATAACTAAATATAGACAAGGATAATGGCAAATTTTCTATTTGGACGAAACTTGGTATGACACTCACGACACAGGTACGAAAGGGTGGACTGATGGTTCGAGAATGTGTACGCCTAACATGTCTGTAAACAAAAGATCGCGACTAATCATTGTGCATAGCGGAGGAAGTAAAGGATGGGTTCCGAATTCTTTGAAATTATGTGGAAAAAAACTTGAGGACTGCAATGTTGACTATCATAAGAAAATGAAGCTAATATTTTTGAGGAATGGTTTGAAAACACATTGATCCCAAATTTGGATGCGAATAGTGTAATTGTTCTTGACAACGCTTCCTATCATTCGTGACAGCTCATCAAAGTACCGAATAAAAATTCGAGGAAAGATGAAATTCTATACCTCCATATTTCACTGATATACAGCGCTCCTCCATATAGGAGCTCAGCCACATCAATACATTGTTTGGGAGTCCAACAATAATCAACTTATTAGAGTTTTAAAAAAGAATGAATCACCAAAGCCTTCCTAAATTCTCTTGGAAAGTACCCTTGTATGAAAGACTGGTTCATTAAATAGGCAAGTGTGTTAATTACAGCACTGATTATATCTTTAACTGTTATTATTGATATTCCATGAGTGACTGCCAACTTCGTATTTGCTATTGATCTGAGTGTGTATATATTTCAGAATAGGGATCCGCCCCGGTTCTGCGCAGGTGCAATGTTGATACTGAATATAAATTCATCCACGCGAAATTCGAGGGCATGAAGAAATAGTGATTGAAAAGTGACTTAATTTTATAAACGTACTTTTTCTCCCACGGCTGGCGCCCCAGTTGTAATAATCAAATATGCTTTCTTATTGCAAATCTACAACATGAAACGAACCTACATTCAAAATTTCAGCAGCCGAAAATATAGCGGTACCAAGGAACAGTGATGAAAAAGTAATTTTCATTTGTAAACACACCACTTCTATCCCCAGTAGAGACACCCAATTCATAATATTTGAAAATCATTTTTTATTGCACATCTACAACAGAAAATGAACCCAAATACGAAATTTCAGCCACCGAAAATATAGTGGTACAGAGAAACAGTGACGAAACGCCCCTTTTTCCCCGCGGCTGGCTCCTCAGTTGAAATATTTAAAAATCTTTTGTTATTGTACATCTACAACATGAAACGAACCTGCATACAAAGTTTCAGTGGCCAAAAATGTAGCGGACAAACAGTGATGAGAATGTAATTCATATGTGAATGCGCCACTTTCACCCCCACGGGGACCGCTCCAGTTGGAATATTTGAAAATTATTTTTTGGTGCGCATTTGAAAGCTGAGAAGCACCTTTATTCCAAACTTTGGCTCTCTAGGTCTTACGAATACGGAGAAACAGAGATACATGAGTGTTGAGTGAGCGGCTTTCGCATTTATAAGTATAGTTAGTATAAATTCTGGTATAGGGCAGTTATCAAACTTACTTCAGCTTCATAACCTTCTCTCACGTTGAACGTTAAGTCGTGTTGAATGTCATTGGCAAATTGTTGTTGATATTCTGGGTATAGCCTTAGTACTTCAACTAATCCTTGCATGTGGATGCACTTCAAGTCGCAGTATGTCAAAGCCCTCACATCACTACTCGACTTAATGACCATGTCCGCTGAACCGCCTCCTCGTTGATTTTCATTCGATGCTCCGTAAACTTGTTGTAGCAAGTGCATGTTGATATCACTGCCAACTAAGTCGCCCTTACCTGTAATATTGGACAGTTATAAAAATGTGAAATACTATTCGTTGAATTAATGAAAACATGACTTTTTCTTGGTTTATACATTTCGTCAAGGAATTTCTCAGGGTCGGTTCAGTTATCTAAGTGGATAATATGTTTATGACTTCCGCGGCCGGGGTTTTCAGTTTCATTATTTTTCGGGTTAGAAGGCCGTGGGTTTATGGAATTATTTCCTGACCACGTCCTTTGAATCCGAAAAATAGTGATACTCAGATCTTACTTTATTCGTTTATCTTTGTGTGAACTTATCATCTTAATTTGGCTATACTAGAATTAGCTGTGCCAACAACACATATAAACAGACGCCAGTGTTGAACTCACAATCTAGCAGAGTTGGAATACTTCTGTATTCGGATACAGTATCCGTATACTTTATAGCTTTATAGCTGTATTCGGATATTTTTCAAATTTTGTGTTCAGTATCCGTATCCGTGGCCAAATTTGTAAGTATCGGAATACCGAATACTTTTTTCGATGTTCGGATACTTTCAAATTATTCGATGAATGAGAACCAGACCATTTTATGCAGGCGTAGACCCCAGTCTGGGCTTGTTTTCTTCCGTTTACGGGGTTGGGACACCCAAACTCGAAGTTCGGCATCCTCGAAAACGGGGTGAGGTAAGGCGATAAAATCTTTTACCGCCTTACCTCAATAAAAGATACCAAGTACCAATTAATCTCGTTGAATCAGAATTTATGTCGTATGTGCATGGCCATTTCATAATTCCCCTATCAATTATCCATTTCCTAGAAAGAACCCTGATAAAATTCATTTCATTTGTGAAAATTTTTGTATCCATTTTTTAATAACTCTGTATAATTGAAAATAAAATATTCGTTTTAATTTTAGTTGTTTTTCAGTTTTCCAATATTACTGTATTTATGACTCAATTGCAATAGGTAATTTGTTCAATAATTACTTTAAAGTCTTACTATCTTTCTGCATTTTTTCAACAAAGAAATTTAATATTGCTATGTATGAACTTGAACTACATATCGAACGATGAATGCGATGATTCATCCAACTATACAAAATTTCAGAGAAATCTTGTAAAAAAAGAGATTTACAAATGAAACTCAAGATTCCGAAAGTCATAAATCCAAAGAAGTTAAGTTGACTCAACCTTCCATTTTGGGAATGACCAAAGAGGGTGGCAAACCAATTCTAAGCCAATCTGTATTCGAAAACAGAATAAAAAATTTTGTTGTGAATACAATGAGTGCAATATCTATAATATAACATTAAAGTTTCAAGAATATCTTTCAAGGAATAAACTTGAAAATACCAACAAGGAAGACAATAATGAAACGAATCGTGGAGTCACATGAAGAAAATTTGCAAGTAATTAAAAATAAAATTGGGAGTACTATTTACTATTTACTTATGCAGCACAGCAGATATTTGGTCGAATAAAAAAATAAGCTTCCTAGGAGTTACCATTCACTGGTTGGATGAAAACTTTGTTCGTGAATCAGCTGCAATTGCTTGTGGAAGGTGAGTAACTTTAAATGTTTTTAGATCAGCCACCCCATAAGTTTTTTAGATTTAGTTAATTTCGTTATTAGGGTTGGTTTTTATTTTCTTATGCAGCACAGCAGATATTTGGTCGAATAAAAAAATAAGCTTCCTAGGAGTTACCATTCACTGGTTGGATGAAAAGTTTGTTCGTGAATCAGCTGCAATTGCTTGTGGAAGGTGAGTAACTTTGAATGTTTTTAGATCAGCCACCCAATAAGTTTTTTTGATTTAGTTAATTTCGTTATTAGGGTTGGTTTTTATTTTCTTATTATATTTTTCGGTCCCATTATTGGACAGTTTTCCTTCAATATTTGAGAATTGAATTAACTACAAAAAGATCTTCACAAAAAACCGTAAATTCGTTATTTTCAATGATAATTGTAGTAGTACTATGAACGAACAGGGTACTGAGGGTACCAGTGAAAGTAGCAATAAAACTACAAAAATTCAGCTGGAATTATTAAGATATCTGGAATACAAAAGAACGAATTTACAAGTATTTACATGAATACTCAATATTAAAAAAAGTGTCACTCAAGTATAATACATGCTTACCTTTGTCAGCACCAGTAGAAAGACTTTTCTCTTTTACAATTATAATTGATACGCCAAAGAGAAAAAATTTAAGTGATGAATGCTTTGAGGTGTTGGTAGTGACGAAGGCAAATTCAAACTCAAAGGTACTATTATAGATATAAATGTCACATCTAGCGAACAATGTTGTAAAAGCTAAAAATATATTTTTTTCATTGGAATGTTTTTTGTTTACAAAATGAATATAAACACTATATATGAATATGTAGATCATGCAAAGAAGTAACTTTCAGACACAAACTGAAAGAAAGTCCTCCTGAAACAGATACTTTCATATAAACATTGAATTACACGAAAGAAAATAATTTTTTCGAAACAAATACTTCTATATGAACACTGAATTATACAGAAGATACTTTTCTCTACTCAGTTTGTATTTCAAACATTTGTTGTGGTATAAGAATCAGATATCATTCACATGAGTTCTACTTTGAATGAATGGTAATAAATTGTACTCACATAGAACACTGTCACCCTCACTGGTATACACCGATGTTTCGCCTTAAGACACTTGCCCTGAGGCTCTTCAGTACCAAATTGGATAACATTATAGAAAATATACACACTTCATTCATGAATTACGATTTTGAATGTCACGGAATAAGCTTGATCTGCTTATGTCATCGATGACATCGTAATGGCATTCATTCACATTTTTTTTTGTATCAGATGGAGTAGTAGAAAGCCAAAAACTTTCTTTCCCAAAAAATTAATCACTCCCCTTCAATTCAAATATAAACAGTTTTTTGAATTTCTTTTATTTCCTTTCTTTTTTTATCACTTTTCGTTTTTGATATTCATCTCTAGTATTTTTACTTGTATACATGTAAACACTATTTTAACTAACTCCAAAAGTATCCATAAAAGTATCCGAAAACAGTATCCGAGTACATTTTCAGGTGAAAGTATCCGTAATTTTTTAAAAAGTATTCGGATACATTGAAATACGGTGTTCGGATCCTTTTTTCCTGCGTCCGACCCAACTCTGTAACCTAGGCCTGGAATTGTTGGTATGTTTAAGCTTCGGGTACAAAAGTATAAACCAATTAAATAATTTGCGAAGAATAAAAACTCAAAGTCGTCTCCAGAATTTGATATCACCATCAGATTTTGAAACGGTAATGGACTTTTACCAGAGGTTAATTACATAATTTTTGTGAATAGTATAGGTTCAATTTCTATCAACGGTTAACTCATGACAGTTCGAAGATTAGTAACACCATCGATTTTGCCTAGTTTTGTCAAATAGTTCACCAATAATACCCCGCATGGTCATTGAACGGAAACTCAAAAAATTGGACTGAACATAATTCTGATTCAAGTCAAATAATTAGTTTCTGCAGACAGAAAGTCTTTCCGATGACAACTTCAATTGCTTCACATATATAATAAACACGGTAATAACAGGCTCAGAAATTGTTAACAAATCGATTGTTGCAGATCAACTGCAAATTCCATTATATCAACCAAATATTGCCAAATGCTCCAATTCGATTAAAAACGTTCATTGGTTAATTTTGTACATTAGTATAGTATAAGTTGTACGTGAGGGTCCCAATATAGGCATTGGACTATAAGAGTGGGGTTGGTTTACAAATTGTGTTTTGGTTTTTGGCTTCCCAAATTTTTAATCAATCTATGTGAGTATATCTCAATTCTGTCAATGATCAGTTTTTACAAGTTAATGAGGGGTGACAATGCTGTTGATTCTAGTTAGTGGTGTGTTAGTGAGCTTCCTCTTGCCCCTTGAGTAATGTGATTTTTGTTCCAGATGACATAGTTCCCCTTCTTAATGGCATGCCTATTCTCAGCAAGTTTCATCGATTTGAGGTGAATATTAATGCATATTTTGAGTATCAAATAGTTGATATTTTATTCTATAGTTTATTCATGAATAGAAACCAACATTCAATAGATACATTCATTATTACTAGTAGGATATGACAAACGGTTCTCGGCTTTCCCACAACTATGACCTTGAACATGATGGGTTGCTCTCGAGATTCAAGTCTGCCGCAGGTACGTGACCTTGAGTTTCGACTCAGGTTTGACCTTGGTTCGGACTGAGGTTGACCTTGAACGTGGAGTTTGACTCAGAATATAAAATTCGACATTGAGATTATAGGGGTACATTGCATTCCCGGTGAAAGCATAGTTTGACATTATGCTTCATGTGTACTCTGTACAGAGTATACACCCGTTTGCATATCACGAAGATTCACCAACTAATGGGCGATCCTTTCTGTTAGCTCATCAAGTTGGGCACTACTTGTTGGGATAGAGAGTGCACACTTCAGCACTCCGGGAGTTTTGACGACCACTACTTGCTCGTATCGCCTCCTGTTAGTGCATCGAGATGAGAGTGGTGTGGTTTCCTGTGACATCAGGTGGATCTGAAGAGTAACTGCTTTACTAGCGATGTGTGCTTCTATGAAACATTGCATACATTCATAGTGAGGGTGGCTCATTTACCGATCATCAAAAGAATATATCTGCAGCAGTTACCAATTGGTAGTTATCTAGTGCTTCATAGAAAGGACGATGATGTGTGTGTTTTTTTGTTGAAAATTGTTTATAAATTCCATATATAATTTTATCACGTCCATTTTAACCTTGCGTCACATAGGTGGATATTTTTTTCATTGGTACATACGTGGGGTGTGACAAACCCCAATTTTTTATAAAAATTTTAAATATTTTTCAATACAATTTTTTATTTATTTTTTTCATTTCTTATCCTCAAGTGATCATTTAGGGACCATATAAATACAAAATTAATGATTAAAATATCTATATTGAAGAGAAACTAAGAATAATATTCTTAGATTGTTCTTTCTTTCAGAAATATGGT